TCTCTACAACAGTCCCATCTGTAGGAGTCACTCTTGGCATCTGATTCTACTCCAATTATTGCAATCGGATTTGGCAGAGCACAACCCAGTGCATTTGAGGTCAGCTTACAGAGTCTCTAATGTGAGGTATTTTATCTGTCAGTGGGGTCAGATGCTTGGGGTGTATGGCAGGCAATTCCCTCAATGGTTGAAGTAACAGGGTACAGCATGTGTCACAAGTATTAGGCACATAGGCAAGTTATAAGACCAGGGGGAGAGAAACAGCAGTATTCACTACTGCTTACATCCTCAGTTCCAAAGGACTGGAGGGCTGAAGCAGAGTGTCACCTTAGCTTCTGCAGGAGTATGTGGTAGGATGTGAAGCAATGGGGTGGGCAGGTGGGCAGAGTTCCAGCCACTGTGAACAGTGGGAAGGAACCAGAGCAGTAGCCGTCTGAAATATGAGCTAGTCCCTCCCCCACACACTTCTGTTTTCCCCGATTCAGCATGGCCCCTGGCTGTGTTCCGCTAACTTGTGTTCAGAGCACATACACCACTCTTCCCTATAACAGACGTCTGAACTTAGTTTCAGATTCCTGACCAAACTCTTCCTCTACCTGCTTGGGCATTGACTCCCAGTGTCTCTTTTCTCTGGATTCCTACAGCCTTCTCTAACCAGGAGGATGCCATCATAAGGGACAGTGCTCAGGCACACCATAAATCCCATCCCCTGTGTCTTGCTCCAGGCACCCTCACCACTTGGCTCTGCCCTGCACATACCCAACACCTCTCCCTGAACCTGAGAAACTTATGGTCATGCTCTAGGCAGGCTCAACCCAGCTTGAACTGCAAAGCCCACATCTAGGGCACCCCGACATTCTTGATTTTGCTTTCATTCTTTGCTGTGGCCTGTCTTTTATTGTCACACTGTGTTAGTCACTGTTCTATTGCTATGAGGAGACACCATGAGAAAGGCAACTAATAAAAGAAATCATTTAATTGGAAGTTTGCTTCTATTTTCAGAAGGTTGAGTCCATGGTCATATCAGGAAGTATTGCAACAGAAGACAAGCAGCGTGCTTGAACAGTAGCTGAGAGCTTACATTTTATCCACAAGATGGAGGCAGAGAGAAAGACCAGCTGGGTATGGACTTTAGAAACCTCAAAGCCCACCTCCAGTGACACACCTTCTCCAGCAATGCCACACTTCCTAATCCTTCCTAAACAGTCCACACACTAGAGACCAAACATCCAAATATATAAGCCAATGGAGGACATCTCGTTCAAAGTACCACACACATGTTCCATTAAGGAGTCAGAGTCTTCTGTAACAGAGGAACCATGGCAGAGATTCTGTAACTGGATGCTGGGCTAAAGTAGGTTAGAGTTAGTCTTTCTAGAGTACCCCTTACTGGGTATATCTATTGACCAGGTATTACTTTTCTCAAGTAAGACAGTTTGGTTATAACAGCTCCGTCCCTATGTTACAGGAAAAGTTGGTTCTGCAGCAGCATTTCCCACATATCATCCTCTGGGGCCACAGTGACTAAGCCTAATTCATCTTCCACAGCTTGATGGCTAAGCATGTCAACAAGTGAGAATCAAATCTGCGCTCAGCCATGAACTGGACAAATCTCTTCACCTTTCTTTACTTTTATGTTCCATCTGCAAAGTGGAGTTATAACAGCACCCATCTCAGAATGGCTGCATGAGTTAGTGGATGCAAAGGTCTTAAAAGTAGCAACAAGAACATAAGAGGTGCTCAGTAAATTGTATTACTTGGAGAACCATCTTTATCTATTTGATTTGCTATTTTTCCTCAGATTATCAGGATTGTAGAAATACGTTTAATACAGCATGATTCCCACATCCTTGCTGCCCTTGTTTATCTCATACTTGGTTTCTTAACACACTGTTATGATATTATCTCCCTCATAAAGTGGGGTCAGTGGTGTTCATGATCTGGATGCTGTTCTTCTGCTTCTATGATAATGACTAATTGATTTTGCTCAAGCTTGTACCAAACAATTGGCTGGGCTCTAATCCTGACTCCTTTTCTTGCATTCCTCTTTGGATTCAGAGCCATATTAAGCTCTAATTCACCTTTTAAAAAGAAAAACCTGGTGTTCTGCCTCCTTTACGAGACCTTGAAGACTGATCTCACACCCATTTGCGAGCTGTTGCACCGTCCAGTAAAGAACAGCTCTTAGTCCTATAAGTACTATATCTCAGCTCTGAGGTCTCAGCTCTGTTCTCCCTGTTTTCAAATTGCCGGTGCCTCAGAACACAAGGCCCTACGCTTTGGGCTTCCTATGGGTATGAGCAGCTGAGATCACACTGTGGCCATGCTACTTTTGGTGAGTTCACTTCCTCTTCATGTCCCCTCTCAGGGACATCCTGTTCCTACCAGCCTCTATAGATGAGGGCTGGACCGTCTGGGAGACGCCTGGCTAGGCATGGAAGAAGTGAGTAGCCCTGACGCACCCAGATTCCCTCTCCTTGCCTGACTCTTAGCTTTTTTTTTTTTTTTTTTTTAATTTTCCTTCCTGTGTTGAAGGAGCTATGGAGCCTGGACCATGCTACAATTTCCTGAGGACATTCCATAAATTCTTCATGGGCTTTTTCTCTGGAGAGAGTGTGGGTGAGTGGCTGGGTAAGCAGGCGGCTACTAGGTATGGATACCCAGTACCTCCAAGGAGTGTGGGTAGAAGGGAAGGGTGAGCTGCTCAGAAGAAAACACAGAGGTATCGTGAGTTCATACAAGCAGCCAAAGGTACACAATCTCACAGTAAAAAGACACAGACAACTTGCAGGTTAGGACACAAAGTGGGCAGTTATGGTTGCAGCCTTGCCCTTTAAGCTTCTACCTCCACAGTCACTTGTACGGCTCATATAAGGCCCAGGGAACTTCTTGGACCTTGGACTGCTTTGTGTGTGTGCACATGTGTACAGGTTCAGGTGTGTGTGTGTGTGTGTGTATGAGAGAGAGAGAGAGAGAATCTCAGATGTGTACTGAGCAAGACACATGAATACTAGGTGGTCAGTAGATGATCCCTTGAGGTTTGCCTGGGCCATTCTTCTTTTAATTAGTAATACTGATTTCTTAATTTAGGTCCAAGGCCAAAAAAGAGTAGAGACACTAGCCCTTGACTGAACTCTGTAGCAAGTCTAGACCTGAAAAATCACCCCCATCCTCTGGCTCCACAGCTACTTCTTGAAGGAAAAAGCGTGCCAAGTTTGGGGGTCAGGGCAAGCTTTACATCTCTGTGTCTGGATCAGTCATTATACTTCTCTAAGTTTCGGTGGAATAATGAGGGTAATGGGCTAAATGACCTCAAGGCTTTTCAGAATACAGTTCTATTTTGCAGGGATGGTTCTACTCTGTTAGGCTTACCCAATAGTGAAACTTTGGTGATGAGCTTGAAAAGAATTAGTATGAATAAACCATCCTTTAATAGAACTTCCAAGGAAGCAGAGGAGATAGAGTCTGGACCAGCAACTAGAGGCAAGAGAACAATGGATAAAGTACTGCACCAGCATAGCTGCTGCTTTTGCTGCACCAGAGACCACCTCTGTGCGATTTTAGAAACAGTGCTTCCTTTAGCAGATAGGTGAGTAATAGATGCCTTACAGGGCAGATACCTAAGAACATGGCACATGGCCTGCTGAGGATTGCTTTTCTCTCTTGCCCGAGACCCATGCGTCAGGCACATGTGCCCAACTGGATGATGTGAGCCTTGCTGAGCAAAGAGGTAGACAGAGAGAGATGTGACCAGCAAAATATACCACTTCCCAACCTTAGGGAGTAACTCCTCTCTCAATGAATAGTTCTTAGGGAATGACTCCTGTCCTCCCCAGCTTAGGCAAGCAAATGATAGGACCACACTCATCCTCTCTTCTACATGCTGAAGCCAAGTCAGGTACATAGTTGTGCGGCAGAGTGATGGTGCAAGACAGAGACAAGTAGGAACATTTCCCAAGAGCAAAGAAAGGTCAAAGGAATTTGGAATTACCAAAACCAAAAAACTCTGGAAGATTCTTTATCTTCTCATAATTTGGACTAGTTCTTTCTTACTTCCTCTACGGCAACTCAGAAGAAGAAGAATATGGAAATTCTTCTTCAGACTCTCCCAGCTCTCTTCCTTCTACATTCCCCAACAACAACTTCCCAGGGCTCTAAATGGATTAGGAGGAAGGAGCCTGGTAATGTCAACATCAAAGGGTGAAGTACAGCAAAGTCTTGTCTGTGCCTTGATCCACAGGTGCTGGGACTAGTGAGGAGTGGCAGGAGAATAAACTCGGGGAAAGGGGATTAGCAGGGACCGGAAAGAATGTAGCTGCTATAATCCCACATAATGAGCCAGACTGTGCTCCCTCTCCACACCTGAAGCACTTGACAAGTAGGTACAAGCTTTTGGCTTCAGCCTCCCTCACCAGAGGGGCCCCTTGCTGCCAGTCCCAGACAGCCTGTTCCCTCCAGCTTGTGGGGCTGCCCAAGGAGGCCTGGAAGATGTCGCCTCCCTGCTGGCTGCTGGGTGAGAAGGTGAGGGGGCAATCTATAACTGCTGGAAAGGTAGGTAAATGGCCTTGTTCCTAGGCACCAATCATGCACCTTGAGGCCAGCATCTACCACTATAGCTCTTAGGATCCCAGACCTGTTCTAACAAAGCTCTTTCAGTTTACAACCAGTATCCTGGTTCCAGGCAGGAGTTGTGATGCACACGACTCACACTGTGTACTACAACAACAATAGCAACAAAGTTGTACTTGACTTGGGAATTAAGAGTGTACCTTCCCAATACCTCAATGTTTGAAAACATTAAAATATATTTGTATTTCCTAGATACTCACTGATTGGTGGCTGGAGGAAATAACTTAAAACTAAACCATAAAACAGAAGCCTATCTTCCTTCCCTTCCCTTAAGAAAACATGAAGTTGCCTTTAGTTAAATCTCCACCTTCTAGAAGAGTGCCTCAACTGAAGACTCAGTGTGTCAGAGGAGCCAGGTCCTGGGCTCTTACCTTCTTCAGCTTGCCACTCTTAGTCCCCACAAAAACCACACTGTAGCCATTGTAAACATAGGAGGCCACAGAGGTCAGGCGGTCCCTGCTGGTGGTGTACAGGGTCAGTCCTTCCACAGGAGTGGAGCCTCCCAGAGGCTGGTTGATGTCCAGGCCACAGAAGTTATCATCAATGGGGACTGGCTGGAAGGATAGGAGAGAACTAGAGTGAATCACAGGTAAAGAATGGCAGTGTCACTTTGAACTACTCCCCCATTGTTGTCAGCCTGAGGGTACCAGGCCTCAGAGAGGCTTAGGCCTGAAATCAGGGGTCTAACATGTTAGGAGACAAAGCTCACTGTCAACTGGCCCACAATGACATCTTGGCCCCCAAAGGACCAGATTGCAAATGACTGGCCTTTTCCACTTTCCCAGAATCAAATGTCCACTTTTTCACCTTTCTGCCAGGAAAGCCAGTCTCAAGTTGCAAAGCTGACTTCTTGAACTCACCTTCTGGTTCTTTTCATGTCCCCTTAGACTATGTCTGTCTGTGAAGATCTGTTTGTTTGAAACAGGGTTCCCTCAAAGGATATTCAGCCTACAGGCAGTATTATATGATGCTACAGGCCTAGAAGTTGCCTGTTTATTATTTGAGCCACTAGTGTTTCTTAGGCTGTAGAGTTTTTTCCTTGAGGCGTGAGGAGTTTTAAGCCACTAAACTAGCACTACTACCTGCCATCATAGGTACACACTGAAAGTCCATGATAATATTGGATATTGTCTTTTGCTGTAGTATTTGCTTGCTTGCTTGCTTGCTTCTCTTTCTTTATCCTTTATCTTTGGAGTTCTGGGGTGTGAATCTGTGGTCTCTTGCATACTAGGCAAGTCCTCTATCACTAAGTTACTTCCTCAGTCCTCTTTTTACTGTTTATTTTGAGATAGGGTCTCACTAAATTGCCGTGGCAAGGTGTGGACGTATAATCTTCCTGAGTTAGCCTCCCTAGTAGCTAGATTACAGGCCTATACCACAGGCTGTGATGGCAAATTTAATCTATATTAGATTTTTCATTTGGAATTTATATCCCCTACCCCTTTGGGAAGAATTTTTGAGGATTAAATGACACATTGTATGTAAAAGACTTTTATCAATGTGTGCCACTATCTCTTGCACATTATAGGTGTTCAAAGAGATTTCTTTTTATATCAGCCTTTTGAAGGGATTAATGTTAGGCCAGGAGGAGCTGAGTCACTTTGAAAGAAGGCCTTGAATGAGTGAGAAAACTTTGCTGTACAGAGAATGAGAAGACTCATTCCTACCCTGTATTCTGGCTGGGTCTGCTGGCGGCCACAGCACCCTCTTCTGGAGCTGTCAAAGGAAGAATTGGATGGATAGTGTTGCACTTTGAATGAGAATGTTCCCCATAGGCTCATATATTTGAATGTTTTGTTCTTAGTTTGTGGACTGTTCAGGAAGGATTCGGAAGTGTGGCGCTGTTGGAAGAGGTATGTCACTGGGGATGGACTTTTAAGTTTCAAAAAGCCACAGTAAGCTCAGTCAGTCTCAGTGTCTGTCTGTCTGTCTCTGGGTGGAGAGAGGAAAGAAAGGAGGGAACTGGATGACTTTTGAGGAAAATGGTTACACAGTTCTTGATATGAGGCTGTTCCTTGAAGGCTCCAAGATTTATCAGCTAACTAGCCAGCATGAAGTCTTGCTGTGAAGGCTGCAGATTCTGGACCAGAAAACACCCTGAATGCTGGGGGAGCTGTTCCCTCCTGGTCTAGAAAAAGCTTCCCAGAAAACTAAAGATATATCTGTGCGTAGCACTGAGGCCTACCCCAGCCATGCTTCTTTACCCTCGTCAGGGAGGAGCAAACTGGTGCTTCATTTCCTCAGGATAACTGGTTAGTAAGATAGAGTACATTATTTTTTTCACTCATGTGTTCCCTCCTTAGTTTTGAGGGTTACCAGGACATGTCTCTGGGACCTTGGTGCTTGTGGACAGCTGCCACTCCTACTACTGGCAAGAAGGGTGGTACTTAACAAAATGCACGAGCACTCATAAGAAAGAACACCAAATTTTAGTATAAGAATGGCCTTGAACTTTGGGTGGCAGAGATTCCACACTGCCACTTGGAAGGGAAGAAGCTATGGTATACTAGTGCCAGATCATGAGAGATGTCTACGTATACCTCTACGTTCACTGATGTCACTCCTATTTGAGTCCATCCTCCCTGGCAGTGTTTATACCACAGGGATTGCCAAATGCTGCAAACCTGGGCTCTCCCTCGTCCTCTGTTGTATGGAGTTAGTTGCTTATGATTTCCATCATGTTACTGGGTAGTGTCAAGCAGACAGTCACTAGCCACTGCTCTCTACCCTCACTGTCTCTCTGTCTCACCCTTGTTCTAGAAGCAGTGGCTGCTCAATAAAGTTAGATAATCTAAATGGTAGCCTTGTCCTTACTGTATGAGCTCCATATTCTTATTGCTATATACCCTCACTGGGACTCACTTTGTTTGTTTTGTTTTTTCATCTATAAAATAATAGTTGAGTCAGATTTTTGTCAAAATTCTTTATAGTTCGCTTTTCTGGTTTCAGTTTTTTCCACTACTTTATCCAGAGGCCAGTAGAGCTAGAGAGTTATGACTTAAGCACAACTGAGATACTGTGACAGAAGTGAAAAACCCTTGCTGTCAACAGTGAGTTTCTTTGCGTTTTTCCTAATGCCAGACTCCCAGAACTACAAAAGAAGTGATCTGTCCTGAGCCCGAGCCAGGGGCTAGATGACAATTTCTTCAATATCTTGTCAGGTATTTCTAATACCTGATGCTCCTTTTCATTTGTGTGGGTAGTCCACTAAAGTATGAGTCACTTCTCAGCGGCAGTGACCATTAGAGCTTGCATCAGGTCTGTGTGATGCCCTGAATTCAGACCCCGATTTTGAGTTCACAGTTATATAGCTTTAAGCAGTTTATTTACACTCCCTGGGTCTTTGTTTTTCTATCTCTAAAGAGATGATAATTAGCGCTTTACTTGTGAGGACTGGGTGAAGTAATCAACTGCTCAAAACACCCCTTCAAGTATAACTGATACTTTGTGAATGATGGGTGCCTTCCTCGTGCTTTTTGTGGAAACAGTGTTTAAATCTTTGACCTGAGAGTTAAATGTTAGCCACAGACTATGTTAAAGTCAAGTTCAGGGCCATGGCTTCTCTTCACTAAAGCGTATCCAGTCCCCAGCTCTGGGACCTTTGGTCTATAGGAGATGGTGGAGACCAACATTTTGTACACCCTACTATTTTGGTGCTTGAAATGGTATTGGCCTAGGTGATGATAGAAATGAGAGTTGTTTCCTATAAGTTAGTGGTTCTCAACATGCGGATCGTAACCCTTTTGGGGGTGACAACTCAGATATCCTGCATATCAGATATTTGCATTATAATTCATAACAGTACTAAAATTACAGTTATGAAGTACAACAAAATAATTTTATGGTTGGGATTACTACAACATGAGGAACTGTACTAAAATGCTGCAGCATTCTGAAGGTTGAGAACCACTGCATTTGTCCTTCTAGCCATCATCCAGTATTTCTGATGTCCCATGGTCACTAGCAGGGGCTTGTCTCTCTGTACCACCACTGGAACAGAGCACAGTTTCCTCTTCCTTTTAACTGCAGTTGACAGGCAAGCAGGAATCAGGAGTTTCCTCCTGACAAGTCCTGCTGTAAGCCATGGGAAGCAGGGTGGATGCTACAAAGGGCTAACCCTTACATTTCCTCTCCATTTCTCTTGCTTGAAGAGGGTCTTTGTTCATAAAACTGTAGTGCTATAAAGCAAACTGGAGATTACCTAAATCCAGTCTCCTCATTTTATGAAAGTAAGATAACTAGGCAAATAATTAGACCTTTATTACTATCATTAGCAGTGGTAATCATAGCAGCTCTGTGTGCCAAGAATTTTATTTTCATAAACATATATCATCATATAATATGATCCTCATAATAGAAAAGAAAGTAATATTTCTATTTTAAAGATGAAAAACACATAGTTCAAATAAAGCACATAACTTGTTCAAGGACACACAGGATACAGGTAGAAGAACTGATTTTTAATCTAATTGATTAGATGTCAAGGACATTTTAACATGTATGCGGTGGTACCCTCTCTCATATGCTAGAATAAAACTGTGAGGATTCCTTCATGCTTATATGACATTTAAGCATGTTAGAAGTTCTTCCGTTCTTGCTGCCTCTCTCTAAGATGCCTTTTTCCCCTCACTTAAGACATTGCTTTAAATACTCCTCTCCCAATAATGGATATTCTTTAGTACTGGTCCCTGTTTTCCTTTATATAAAACTTACCATTTGGTGGGCAGGGTCATGTCACTTGTCTGAGAGTCTCCCAGGCTCACTATGTAGCCAAGGATGACTTTAAACACCTAATCCTACTGCCTCACTTCTTCCAAGTGTTGAGTTGACAAGTGTGCACCAGCACTTCAGGTTAGGCTGTTTTTCGTGTTCACTTGTCTTGGCTCACTAGTAAGTAAGCTCTCTGAGAGCATATAGCTGAGTCATGTGGCTCAGCAGACACCAAAAAAGTGCCTGGTACAGTGTAAGCATACACGGGCATGCATTAGTATTGATTAATAAAATCAGCAAACTCATCCCAAGAATCTAATGTAGGCAAGACTGTGCAATCGGCAGTCCACAGCTGGTTACTTGAAACACTTTCTTACCCTAACCCTCAAGGCCCAGAAGCTGAGGGTACAGAGGAGCAGAGGAGTTAGGAGCAAAGCACATGGAGGCTCTAACTTACTGCTTTGGTGCACTGCACATCCTTTCCCAGCAGCCAGTTGAGCTCCAAGTTGCCTTCTCCATGGTAGCAGGATTGCAACCTCTCCTTGATCTGCAAGTTGATGGCCCGGATGGGGAAGGCACAGAGGGCAGAGTCATCAGGGGGGTGGTGGTACTGCTTCTGCCCCTTGGAGAAGATGGCAAACAGCACATCTTCATTGCTGCTGATGTTGAAGGCCTGAGCTAGAGCTTCCCCAGGCTTTGCAAGGTAAGCTGCCTGCAGGAGGCGATACTCCACCCCAGCACGTGTGCAGCCAAAGGGCAGGGACACATAGGAGTGGAACTTGGGGTCATTCTTGCAGAGACGCACAATTCTTGAGGTATAGAAGAGGTCTCCAGCTGAGTTGATGGCCACACCCTCAGGGGTTTCTGGCTGGACAGTGAGAAAGTAGACAAAGCCCCCACTGGCAAATCCATAGATGTAGAAGATGTCAAAGTGGGAGACCAGAGCTAGTGTGTCAGAGGGGATCTTGATGAGAGAAGAGACAAAATCACTGTGGAGCTCATAGTCCAGCATGGCTGAAGACTCAGGGTCACGGGGCAGCTTGCGGCTGGACAGGGTAGGGAAGTAATCCTGCTTGCCATCTACAGCAGTGCCGATAAAAAGCTTGCCATCTTCCCCCTCGGAGCGCACAATCACACCATACATGGTACCTGTCTTATTGACACTGGACAAGTAGTGCTCTTTCTTGTGGGATGGTTCCACCAGGATGAAGAGGTCATCTAGCCGCAGGAGCTTGCAAACACCCTGGTAGAGACTGCCACAGGCAAGCAGCCGATTCTCAGAGTAGTCAATGATCAGTAGTTTGTTGACATTGTTGGTGAGTGTGAGCACCTCACTGCAGGGCTGTACAATGAGGGGTGGGTAGCAGGCCTTGTTGTCCTCCTCTGGCCCTGTCTTGTGAGCCACCTGGATGGTGAGGTTGCCTGTCAACTTGTAGACACGGTTGATGGCCCCCACATACACAGCACCAGTTCTCCTGTGCACAGTCAAATGGTTGAAAGTCCAGTCACGATTCTCAGAATGGAAAGTGCTGAACTGAGGCATACCCGTGGTCCCACGAGCTAGCAGCAGCCAGGCCACCGAGAGTAGTACCACAGACAAGTTGTCAGCCTGCATGGCCCGCAGCTGGGACCTCCTCTGCTCCATCCCTAGAGGGGTGAGGCTCTGAGAAAGCTCCTCTATGTGTTACTCCACTTGTCTAGATCAGCTCTCACATGGTTCTGAAAAACAAAAGGCAAGAGGTCAGACCAAAAGAAAGTTCTAATCCAGGACTCCCAAATCCAGCTGGCCTGATGAGTCTCTTAACCACATTTTAGTTTTTCTATTTTTAACATATTTTCCCCCTCTGAGGGTTGCAAAGGGAATCCCATTGTCTTTAGCCATTATGATGTATAATATGCTTTTGTTTGTATGTTTTATTTATACTGTACAAAACATCTCTATTTCAGGTCTCTCAGACATTGTTTTTGTTTTTTTGTTTTGTTTTGTTTTTTTCTCTCACAGAGGTTAAAAGACTGGAGTTCACTCAGCCAGTCAATGCTGGTGTCAGAACTGAAACGTGTTCCCCATATACTAACTTTAGGACCTCCTACTCCGTTTTGATATGTCAACAACACTTCCTTTTACCACATACTCCGGGGAGTCTCTACTTTCTGATGTTCTGATATCCACAGGGAAAGAGAAGTGCTGGTCACCTCTAGCGGTGCCTCTCACTGCTTCTCATCAAAGGTATCCTGGGTCTTGAAAAGACTGGATTCCTAAACCTGCCATCCTGAAGTGGCAGGTGAACCTATTGCTCTATGACAGACATAGCCACTGACTTTCTTGCAAGAGAAGAGTATCTGGGTTCCAGGAACCCCTCAGCCTTTTCTCTGCAGGTAGGACCACAGAACCCGTCTTCTCACTAAAGGCCAGGGTGGATGGTGGAACCTAGCAGCATCACCTAAGGTGGGAGTTCTGGTGGGGAAAACTTGGCAGCCATAGAGGAAGAGCACTCAGAAGGTCAGTTTTATCTGGTCACTGCTGGGGAAGTCTGGCTCATCTGTGTGTTTAGCCCTGGGCCTTGATCACAGTGCCTGAAGTTGAATGCTTTGATCCTGTCTGCATTCCAAGAAGTTGCCCTGTGAGCAGAAAGACTCCCCGAGGACACCTGCTAAGTTCAGCAAGGGGAATTCCTAGGCAAGGGGATGAAGGTCAGGAAGCCCAGTCATCCTTGGACAGTCTTAATTCCCCTGATTTTTAGGATGAACAGTGGTGGCCTGTGCACCAGATGAGGTAGCAGCCATCTAGCTAAGGGAGCTTTTCTAGCTGAACAGAGTACCTGGGTGACCTTGCTGACAAGTACTGACAGAACTCTGGGTGCACTGACACCAGGAATGGAAACGCTCCAGCTAGAAAGAAGAATTTGCTCCCAGGTAGCTTAACAGAGACCTGCCTGCCTGTCCCCTCAGCTCCTCAATCTGGCTGGACTGGATTATAACTAGTCAGACACCAGCCTCACTTGGTTTTTCCTTGTATGTTTAGAGATTCTCCTTCCTGCTCCTCCACTCTGCAGCAGAGGGCTGTAGCCACCATTGTACCAGAGGAGTCCCATCTGACCTTCTTCCTCCAGGGGTACTCTGCTGCTGTTCTGGAGGTGATTCATGCAGTCCCTTCCCTTGGAAGGAGGAAGGCAGCACAGGCTGGGCTGACCTTAGCTACTGTGACACAGCCCTTCCGGCCATAGGAGCAAAGGCTCCTAACTCACCAGCTTTCAGTTTGAAAAGCAGGTTATTTTTAGCTATGTCCTGAAGCTGGTAGCAGGACGTAAATTCCTCAAGTGGAGCTGCAGAACGGAAATAACAGAATCCTCAAGCTCTAATGCTAAATGGGGAATTGCAGGAGGCCACACTACATGTTCTTTTCTAGAAGGTGGGGCCACAAGTGGGCTCCCTGTCACACAAGTGGCTTCAACTGAAGGATGCAGCATGAGAGCAGATTGTCCATCCAAGACAAGCTTTAAAGAAGAAGTTGCCTGTCACCATGCCAGGTGCAGGTGCTTGCAGGACAGAAGTGTTCTCTGAAGTACAATGGCTCTCATGCCTTCCCACCACATACATCCACATACAGGCCTGACTCACGCACACAAGGAGTTTTGAGAGTAGAGGAGACCAGTATCTGAAGATATAGTTAGCCATCTCACTTTTTTTCCTCCATGATATAGTTTCCATTTCTGCTAGAACAAGATAATGAGATAACAGCAGTACCGAGCTCTCTGGCTGTTAGGAAAGCCAGTATGGTACTGCTGCCACACCACTGGTACCTGTCATATTATCATAAAGGCCTCGGATGGGAAATGGTCCTAGAATTCCTGACTTCTCTTGTTGCCTATGTTCTTCCTTTCCATGGATGGACATTATGTGGGGAGCTTTGATTCCTCTGGTACTATGGAAATACTTAGCTGGAAGGTTAGTGGCAGAGGAGAAGATCAGACCAGGCTGATTTTCTCTGTCATATTATAACCTCTGAAGACGATAGGGAGGCTGCTGAAAGCTGGGTTCAGAGCAGAAAAACAGGGCTGATGATTAGAAGACCTGTAGTCACAGAACAGGAAGAAGTTTAGAGAATTCAGGAGTTCTGGTCCAATGTCTGTCACTCACAAACTGCATAGTGGGTATTGACTGATCTACCATTTTCCTGAACCTGTTTCTTGAGCTGTCATAACTAGCCAGTCTGTAAGAGTCCTTATTCCAGATGAAATACCTTGAGGCCCATCTTCAGTTCTTGGAGTCTGGGTTAAATAGTCACTGAGTTCCTTCTGTACTACCTGCTTGGCTAATCAGGAAAGATTTTTGAGCACACCCCTGTAGCAGGCCTTTTTTCTTCTTATCTCTCTAACTGCATGATACTGGCTACTAGCCAGGAAATTCATCCCCAGGCCCAGAGACTACCTACCCCAACAGCTGCTACAGGACACTGGGATCCAAAGGAGACATTACCTCCTCTGGTAAAGGATGGAAAGATTTGCTATCTTGAGGGCCACAGATTTACATGCTAGGTTGGATGGAACCAAGATACTGCTCTAAAGCAGGGCTCAGTGGTCAAAGGTCAGGCAACCCAGGTGAATTAAGGGTAAGGAAGGCAGCTGTCTTTGTGCCTGTGAAAAGCGGCAATGTGGTATGGTTAGTCACTGAGTTGAAGGACTCAGATATTTGGCTTTAAGCAGAGCTTCAGCTGTGTGTATCTGATCAAGGCTCAGGCTACTCTGGGATACATTCTCTCCATTTACCTGAAATGGGCTTAGTCTTGGGACATGTCATGAAGGATTGACATCCCGGCTACAAAGCCCTCAGCAGAGCACCAGCCATGCCATGTGGGCTATAGCCTTTACCACAAACTGAGATTTCCAGCTCCTTGCTTTCCTTTAGCAGCTTCTTTTGCTTGTCCCAGTTCTCAAGAAGGGACATACTGTCCTAGACTTGTGATTCTCCCACAGGGCCTCCCCAACATCTTCCCTATGGAGACTGTGATACTAAGCAGAGTTCACACTTGCTTCTGGAGAAAGCAAGTGCTACTAAATATTTTATTTGCATGTTTGATGACACTATCTCCCTGATTATGATCCAGGCAGCAGGTGCTTGTGACAGCCACCTAAGGCATCTAATACTTTCCTGACCAGCTGGCATAAAGTCGGTGGCAATCCAGGAAGGAAGTGAAAGTGAGGTGTTTCCAGCTCAGCTCAATGCACAATTCCCTCCTCCCACCACTGTTGCCCTTCCCAGGAGGTCTACGTGCATGTGTCTCCATGGTATCACTGGCCTCCCTTACCTCAGAGGAGGTGGTAGCAGGAGTAGAGTTGCATAGAACTTTGCAATGGAGTCAAAGGCTTGCTAGATCTCATGCAACAGTACCCATGGATAGTACCACCATACCCACTCTCTCCATCACTGTTGTCCTTGTCACCACTGTGGTCTTCAGCCTTACGATGGTACTGATAGGCCGTAATTGTTCCCACTCTCTCCATCACTGTCTCGATCACTGTCACCTCCATTACCATTGCAATACTGATAGCGTGTCACTATCCACATACCCTCTCCATCGCAGTCACTGTTCCCTCTAGTCACAGTGCTGATAGAGTTCACCATCCCCACCATCCTGTCATCATTGTCACTTCCAGAACCATGCAATGTTTTAGGTCACCACAGCCGTAGTGATGCCTTATATTGACCAAAGCTCTACTGAATGGTATCCACAGCAGGACCCTGAAGAGCAGAGGGGAAAGAGAGTACAGAACTCAGCAGCTCAGGGACTCCCTGATCCCCCTTCTTTTTCCATGGCAGAAGATAATCTGTCCCCTTTCCAGGTCTTTTTTTTTAGTCGGATTTTGAGAGCTTTGCTTCAGGGTGGATGTTAAAGGCCATTTTAAGGTTACTCTAATCTGCCACTTAACTCTGTTTTCAGATGGCAAAAACCAAACTCTACAGAAAAAATTTACTTGTCCAGAGGGTTGCAAAATCTTTGTCAGGAACAGGCTATCCTGTAACACAAAGTTAGCATTTCTTCCCTCAGTGTAGGAGGTGGATCCTGGGAACTGGTTATATTCTACCTGGAGGCTGTGCTGGCTAGAGGACAGAATGTAGTTTCAAATGCTGGATTTAGCACATGGCCAGAGGGAATGTGGTACTAGACGTGGACCAAGAGCTGGTGCTGGGGAAAGATTCCAAAAAGCCTCTGATGCAAGGGGAGAGAGTCTAAAAGATATGATCAGAACGGCCTCTGTCTAGTCTTGAGCAGTAGCCTCCTCTGACCAGCTCTAGGCTTGGTCATGCTCAGGAACGGTATGTAGTTTTGGTTTTAGGAGCTCTGATGCCCTCAGTGCCCCAGCTCTTCAGGTTATAGATACTTTCACAGCTCGGTCATATTTACTCTCCGTACAGAAAGCTCCTTCTAGAAGAGTTAGACTGCTGAAGAGATTGAAAATGCCTTTTTGTTTGTTTATTTGTTGGGACGATGTCTTCTACATAGTCCTGGCCGTTCTGTAAGTCACTACAGAGACCAGGTGAGATCCACTCGCCTCTGCATCAAAGGGGTGTGCTACCACACCGGGCTGAGTAGAATGCAGAAGAGGCTGTGGAGGCTTTTAAAGTACAGTGTCACAGAGGTATGGCAAGGTATAGGCAGAGGCAGGGTTTTGGACCTCTGATGTCAGAAGGTGTCGTTGGACTTCAGGTTTCAGTGAACT